ATTGCTGCACTCACAAAGAGCGTCTGCAGACTTTTATTCTTTTAATAGACCAAATGTGTAGCACAATGGTCTTTCATGGCACTCCTCCAGTTCACTCATAAGTAAGTGCACACTCTCAAGAGCCTTGTTACTACACACAATAGAGAAGAGCCTGAGGAGGGGTGGCTGCGGTCTCACAGGACTACAGCAGAGATTCATTTGCAGCTGAAGCGGAACAAACTAAAATCAACATAAATATGTCCCGGCTAAGTCCCACCTTCGAGTGGAACAGGAGCTGAACGGATGGGCAGGGTGAGGCGACGCGGCAAAAACCTCAATATCGCCCTCTGATAGCGGCTTCCTGTGAGGTTGAAAAGGCATCCCATCAAATATGAAAGCAGCCTTTTCACAGTCGTAATTGCTCGGAGAGGCTTGGCATTGTATTTGCAGTCAAACGGCTTAATCGGTGACAGCTTGAAAAACCAAACGCTGCAAAAGATTTTCCCTGCCAGCCGTCGATTCGCTGCTTTATCTGGGCCTTTCGAAAACATTAGCCTGGATAGCTAATTGAGCCTGGAAAATGTTTTGATGTATCTGAGTGAGTAATCATGTCTCTTGTTGAAAATGAAGAATTTACCCAGTCAGAGGCAGACATTGTGTATTCCTAAATGCGCCATGTTGTGTGGTCGTTAAACATAGTAGTAGTTAAGGATAATTGCCCGCCCAAAGCCGCCGTTGTTCTTTTGTGACAAATTATACGGCCTGTGACAGCTCTTGTCACTTTAAGCCAATTAGAACTTTAAACTTTAAAGCAGTTAAGTGGCGGATATTCAAATATTTCTGTATAACACCAGATAAAGCCGGCGCGGGGACCATGATAGAAGGTAGCGTGGCGGGAGAGACGACGCTCGTCATGGTGCCACTGAGTATCCTCCACGGGTAGCAGAGCAACAGATTACATCAAACACATGTAAACTCAATTAATAATTCTATTTACAGTGATTTATGATGGCAAACAGGCCACAACAGCAGTTCCATTTGTTAGGCACATGCTTTATCCAATCATGTAACAACAGGCCGTGCACACAGTGGCATAATACCACACCATCTGGCTTATGAGGCTGTTAATGTTAGGCGGTCTGTTCTTTTTCTTAAGCCTGGTGCTTAAAAGTGCTTAAAAATTACTACTTTGTGTTACGGCCATGCAAACATCACACCACCGTGGGACACTATAAAGTTTTAAATTACACACTCTTGGATTAGAAATGGAAAGAATATCTCCTTGTCATGTGAGGTGTGGTGTAAACTATAAATAATTTACAGGTGTTTAAAAAAATGACAGGAAAACATGCCTGCGTGTGATTCAGAGCTCCAGAGCTTTAAATACCTCCTGACTAGCTTATGTGCTTTTTCAAAAGGTGTTGTGAGTCTGTTCTTTATCGGACGGTGCTCTCTGTTTTGTTCGGTGAACTGTAACACGGCCCACGCAGTCTCCAGATTTGATTCCTCTGTGGCTGTTTATGCAAAGGTCAAACCACAGAACGACTAGGAGAGTTTGTAGCTGAACACCACTTTGGTATTGACACTGGGAACCTCGCTTATCTGCTGGCCTGCAATTACGTGGGCGCCCAGCAGTGATATACTTGAAGGCATTGAGGCCAAAGTTTGAATATTAGAGGTGGAAGCTACAGCACCTGGATGTTCTGTGTGGGTTCCCAGTCATCCGAGTCATGGTTGTCTCGAGAGCTTGAAAAACAACCGGTTCCCAACCTGAGCCTCCCTGAGCCTGGTTCTGTCGGAGGTTTTTTCCTGTTAAAAGGGAGTTTTTCCTTCCCACTGTCGCCAAAGTGCTTGCTCATAGGGGGTCATATGATTGTTGGGTTTTTCTCTGTATGTATTATTGTAGGCTCTACCTTACAATCTAAATCCCCTTGAGGCAACTGTTGTTGTGATTCGGTGCTTTATAAATAAAACTGAATTGTTCTAGAACTGAAGAAGCTTCCTGAAGGAGTGGCAAAAAATCTTCAAAGATCTAAAGAAGTCCAGTTTTCCACTTTTTAGGCTCTAAAGAATAGCACCTGAATACTCAAGTGTCTTTTTCCCTCAGTCCATAACAGGTATTCTGAGTATTTAGGCCATACCAATATAACATTTAGAAAAAAAGCCCTATTCTACCAAAAGTTTAAGATTTTAGTTAGATAGCTTAGCAGTGTTTTGAAGCTAGGCAGCAACCCAGAGTCTCTGCAGGCAGTGAGAAGGAGGATGGCAGCTGTGTCATATAAATGGCTCCAATGAGAGGTGTAGTGTCTTGTATACCAAGGCATATGGCGTCTACTTACGTCTGGGTAGGGGGGATTTATTGTAAGACTATAAAAATAGCCTGCACTGTATCGACGCACAGTCAGTCTAGTCAGTCATATTAAGGCCAATCAATGTGTTCGATAAAAGGAAGACAAAGAGCTGATTGATTTTCTAGTTTTATTTTATTTAACCTGTGATGTATACTGCTACCCTGACATTTCTTTCCTCACTTTAGTCTTAAAACCGTCATGTGGCCTGATAAAAGTGCCAAAAATCTGGAGTAACGTCGTCTTAATGACACTCGTAGCTCATTCATAGCTCACACAGACGCGAGCAAGAAAAGCCAACATGTCAGCGGACTTTGAAACTTTGTCAGTGGTTGTCTGACTTGATTACAGACGTGACTGCTGTGAGCTAAAGGGAGATGAGTATCCAGAAAGACATGAGACATGCCTTTAAAATAGCATGTGACTGTGCTGAAGTGATGGGGGAAGTGTTCAGATTAGCAACATAGTCTATGAATATAGAAAGAATATAAAAAACTCCATCAGAAGTAAAAATTGTGAGTTATAATATTTAAGGAAACAACAAGTATAATTAGAACTACTCGTGATTTGATGTTAGGGCATCATTACTGCTGTGGCTGTGAGATGGCCAAGAAGTTAACCTTGACTAGGATGGATTTCCATTACAAACCCTTTTGCATCGGCATATTTCTACTCTTGTTACCAAAAACTGAACCAGTCAGTGTTTTCTTTTGGAGCAATATTCAATCAGAAAGTTCTTCAAAGAAAAAAGAAAAACACAAAAAATGCCACAACTGATTTATATGTGGCTGATCTGGTCAAGTCAGTTTTTGTGCCGCTCTGCACCATTTCATGCGCTCTTCATGCTTTTAAAATGCTTCAGGCTTGGCCAGTGTTGGTTCCTCAACTTAAAAACGATGTTCCTGGTTGTAACCAGCCGTAATCGCCAGTGATGATTCTTGACATCTAAGTCAGATCAGTTTGGCACAGATGTTAATGCCTGCTTTATGTACGAGATCAGGTCCCTTTTTTAAATCACAGGAGAGCTGGACCTAAGTGGACTGATTGAAAAGGGGTCCAGCTGTGCACAAGGTTACAGCCTTGAAGGGAGATTAGCTAAATGGTGGTTTTTATTTATTTTTACGGGCAGACTCACCTTGCAAATGTAATAAGGTACATGCAAAAGCACCAGTCTGTCAGCACGAGTAGGTGCAGTTAGTGCAATAGACTCAGCTGATGATGGGTGTATTTCATTCGCGTCAGACAGAGCAGGTTAGCTGTATTTTCGGTGTTTATGCACCAAGTTAAGGAGCTGCTGTATTTATTTGCAGTGTTTAAGTTTCTGGATCACTAATAAAGATTTAGGTCTTTTTGTCGAGTATGCTGTGTAATAGGAATTTCAATCAGCTGGGGTTGCAGTTATTCTTTCATACTTTAAATATCACTTTTAGAACCCAGAGTGCTGAGTGACGTGTCAATTTTCTCATCTAACTCTTACAAGGAAGAAAGTCTGTTTTCGAGAAGTGTCTAATTATTAATGCTGTGTTGCTATATTATTATTATCGGCATGTTTAACCACACGCTTGAGTGCCTGAAATTCGATTTATTAGCTACAATCTTCCTCTCCTCTTCATCTGGATTTGCTGCAGACAACACTGTGCACATGTCTCTGCTCCATGTAAACACTGCGGCACGAGCTGTCAGAGTTTACAGCTGTGTGACACGCAATTAATGAACTTTGAGTTTGATTTAGTTCCTGTCTGTGTGTGTGTTGCAACACGTCTCTAAGAGGCAGCGGCAGCTCTGACAGGACCACACAGCGACCTTGACAGGAAACAGCTGATTAGGTCATTCTCTAAGCTGGCTAAGTCCCAAGTATTAAATGTACTACTGCTTCCAAATGGCTCTACAGTAATTTCAGTCAGCAAATACAATAGATTTCAACTTTTACTTACAATGAAACAACCTTTCAATAGACTAATGGTGGAGGTGAGGAGGAAATAAAGAGAGACATAAAAACAGGGATCTCTTTGAACTCTGCAGCAGAGAGAAGACGTCTGAGAGGAGAGCAAGTGGAGATTAGCATGCATTCACAGACTACAGATTGGCAACACATGTTTCCGGCAGGGGGTAGAAGGAAAAATCCACTGTAAAACAGAATTTATGTAATATATGCCTATGATCCTGATCAGCTTAGACTTGATTTTTCATGGATGAACAAGTAGAACCAGAACCAAGACTATGTTGTTGATGCATCAGGAGAGTAATCCTAAGAGCGGTTACATTGACAGTGGACAGCAGCTGGAGTTCCACATCTGTACACCTGTACAAGGTATGCACACTTCTTTTAACTATCAGGAATATGCTCAACATGTAAGGCGTTTAAACATGTTCTGAATCCACGATGGCCAAATCTAATTCACTGTCAATGGAACAACTTCGGGCTTTGCTGATTAGAAACTTGCTGCTTTCTGGTTCACAGACGACATGTATGTGTGAGGATAATGTGTGAGGATAAGTCTCGTGTAATGATTTACTCATCAGTTGAGCCTTTGGAATTTGTCACGTGTGATATTTGATTTGTACTTTTAAAAGACGTCACTATCACTGCCAAATTGACAAAATATTATGAGATTAGACCTTTTTCTCTTTTTATTTATGGGTTCCTACCCTGAACATCACATCTTTGTACCCCAGAAACAAACAGCTTTGATTCAAAGCAGTAAGAAGAAGGATATATTGCACTTTCTGTAAAAAATATATTATTATCAGGGAAAAAGATCAAATGTCCACAGACTAAATAACGGTTCTACGAAGAGGGGAGACATGGAGATAACAGGTGTTAACAAAAAGCAAACTGCCTTTTAGCGCAAAGAATCAGGTGACTGTTCTGTACAGAAATGCAAGTGTGCTGCAGGATTTGTGGGCACACGAGTTTTGCCACAGTCCTCTCTCAGTGGCATTTTCAGCTGCCAAAATGCGACGGGGACTGCTGAAGACAAAATGGAGACATTTGTCCGCGACATGATGTCAAAAAATTGAAAGATATTGAGACTATCACTTGTATAAAAGCATGCAGCATCAACAGGGAGAGGAGGAAGAGAGAGATAAAGGACTGCAGTCACGCACTCACCGGTACATGGGAGGTGGGCTTCCCTCGGCCTCGCAGCTGAACACCACCTCTCGGTTTTTCTCCACATTCTCCACAGGATACACGATGCTGCCAGGCTGCTTGGTAAAGACGGGACTCTGTAGGACGCTGCTCTCTGTGGGACAGCAAGGAAAGACAAAACTTATCCACCAGCCGGTTTGCCAAGCAGCCAATTAGTCAGCGGCAGAAACAGGTTATTGCTGCTTTAAGTCTTTGAGAGGGCAAAACCACAAAGCAGGCAAAACATATCAATTTGAACTGCCTGTCACGACACCGAGCACAGGGAAGAATGATTTGAAGTAAGACGTGTCTTCAGCTTCTATTTAGGTGGTAATAGGGTATAGGGATAGATTTATGTTGGACTATTATCGAGAAAAATGTTTGCATTTGCTTCAGACAACTCATTTTTATTTGTTAATTTATTTATTTGCCCAGTGATGTTAGGATCATTTACCCCTGCAGAGGTGCAATCAGTCAGTTTCTCTTTGTTGTAAATGGCACAAAAGAAGTCTTAGTTACTTCGTTAAAGCAGCCGTTAAGGCCGCTTGAGGAAAGCAATTCGTATTTCTTTGTTGCAAATCGCAACCAAAGTCAGTCGGAATCAGTCGTTTCCATCTGATATCAGTGAGCTCAGGTTTTTATGGAGAGGTGCTATTTTATATTGAACATTTTGCCAAATTGCAAAGAATAATGGTTCTGTAAAAAAGTAAAAAACCCCCAAACAAAACAAAAGAACCCTCTAAAAGCAAAGAAAGGCTTATAAATTTTTAATTTATAAGCCTGTCTCTTTTTAGACGTCTGGGCTCATAGCCGCTAAAAACATTTAACCTGAACACTGTTGCTGGTAGAGTAGCTGAAGGAATTTCTTTTCTTTTCTTTGTATATTGTAACCAAACAAAAGACAGACTGCAGAACAGCTTGTGACATCAAACATTTACAATGAAGGTACACAAGGCTAAAATTGTGAGATAAATTATGGAGGTGTATTTCACATCTGATGTGCTGTTGGGAGTGTACATATATATATATATGTGTGTGTGTGTGTGTTTAAAGGCATGCACGATTAATAGGTTAAGACAAATAAGAAACAGATATATAGTGTTGCACATAAATGAGAAGGGAACATAACCTCACACTGGTGAAGAGCTGGAAGCGAGGCGAGTCTTGAGGTTGCAGTTTTTAAAGCGACCCCCTGACCAGCATCCTGCTAAGACCCTCAGTCCAGCCCAGAGGCTTCATTATAATACACATACAGTTTCTGATGTTATGTTGCATCAGAACATAACATGGGAGAGTAAGCTGTGCTTGGTACTTTTATAATTTATATGGCAGGTATCCTGTATCTGCTCTTGTGTTTAATCCTTCCAACTCACAAAAGAGATTTCAATTCAGTTCAGTTTTACTTATATAGCACCAAATCACAGTAACTGACACCTCAACCTTTATATTGTGAGGTTAAGACCCTCCAATAATACTGAGAAAACCCCCAAAATTAGGCACGAGCAAGCGATTTGGTGAACGTGGGAACGAAAAACTCCAGGTTAACAGGGAGAAACATCGAGCAGAACCAGGCTCGGGGGGCATCTGCCACAACTGGTTGGGGCTAAGGGGAAGGACAGAGGACAAAATGTCACTGTGGGTTCAGCATGTAGAAAAAAACCCCCGAAACCAAACCTTCCTAAACAGATGAAGAAACTGAGATCACGAGCTAATGCTCAATGTTGTCACACAGATTGGTTCTTCCTTGGCCTAAGCTCCGCCTCTTTACCTGGTTTTATCATGTAGTTTGGTAGTTCAGGCATAAAAGTGGTTTGACAGACAAACAGCGGTTATGTTTACAGAAACAAACAGCTACATTACAGAGTTTTAAAAAAGAAAGAAAGAAAAACAGAAGAACACAGCGGGTGCACTTTTGTAGCTCAGTCCTCAGTGTTGTTGAAAAATGGGCTATATTTAAGTCTTCTTATTACTACTTCTGATGCATGATTCACACTTCACTGCAGATATCTACATAACGTAGCATTTTCTTAATATTTGAAAAATGGAAGGAAATACAAACCATTAAGTGAAACATGTTAGCTGCCGCCTTGAACCTTGCTTTCTTTTTCTTTTACTTTCAGAAACCACAAGAGAAACTAAGCACAGGTCAACATAAAGTGGAAATTACTTATACTCTGCTTATGTTTTTAATACTTTAAATGTCCATGAAGGTTCTTAGTTTAAGTTTAATGCTTAAGCTATCATTATCCAGGCAATCTAACTAAAGTCTTGATATCAGCAAAGAAATATGAATCATGCTAAGAGCAAACATGTTGCATTTTGGGGCAGATTTAAAGCTGTCAGTCAGTCTGTGTGTTGTGTAGTGTATGTGTGCTGTGATTCAGACACTCTTGAGTTTCACAGTCTATAACGTTTTTCTATTGTTCTTTTATCTGTTTTGCTGATAGAGAAGTTGACTCGATTACATCTCCACAGCAACTCTTAGCGGGGGAAGAATGGAAAAGTGGTGGTGACAGGTGCTATACGTATGATTGAATGGGACCAACAACAGTTTATGTCACAGTATTTGTGTTTCAGGTTCTGAATTAATATTCTTTGTTTATTGTTATTCATGGTTTTTGTTATCTTTATTTCTTACGTTCTCACTGATCTCAGTTCTCCCTCCCTCAGTGTTTATCTTAGTCTTTGTTTAGTCTCTGTTCCCGTGTCCCTGTGTTAAGCTTGCATGTCTTGAGTCTGGGTTTCGGTCTGTGTGTCTTCCTGTTTTATTTTGATACTTCCTTTTCCTTTGTATTCAGTTTTGCTTCCTCCCCGGTCTCATTATGTTAGATTAGTCCCAGCTGTGTTTCCCTGCTGTTTCTAATTCCCTTGTTGCTCCCTTGTGTATTTAAGCCCTGTGTTTTCCTCGGTCCGTTGTTGCGTCATTAACCATCATTTACCCTGTCAGTACTGCACGTGTCCTCTGTGCTCCTGACTAATTCCTAGTTCTCTGTTAGTTTTCTAGTTTGAGTTTCACGTTTCCAGTTTCTAGTTTTGTTTTCTTGTATTCGGTGTTAGAGATTTTCCCAGCAAATAAAGCTGCTGCTTTGAGTTTACTTTTCTGTGTACGAGTCCTGCATTTGGGTCCTTCATCCTGCCTGCCACAGCACAAACCATGACAGTTTATGAGACAGGCAGGGTGAAGATTCAAAGAGTTGAACAGTATCTGACATTACTTCTAGTACTCTGCAAAGGTACTTTGCTGTAATTTGTGGTCTTGAGCAACACGTCTCCAGGCTAAAAGTTTCCAGAGGAGTGTTGTTTTGTTTGGTTCTTAAGCCAACACTGACCTGCAAGTTATTCAATCATAATAAAGGAATGAACCTGAGGTGTGTCTACACATTTTACACCAGTTTTTTTTTACACTAATTATAATTGGTATCCCTAGGCACTTTCTTGCTATTTCTTTAGCTGAATTTGTTCCCATCTATTTAGCTGAATGCATATAAAGCCAGTGATAAATGTGAAATTTGACAGGCAGGAAAGCTTTTTGCAAGAAAACTTGACTTTACAATTTTGTTGAAGAATAAAGGTGGTCATACCAAATCCTGACTTTATTCAAATAATATATATATAAAAAAACAACAACAAATATAAATATAAAGAAATGGTCAGGGACAACATTTCACACTTGCACTGCAGGAATCTACCGTACATCTTGACCTCCTTCATTAAATACAAAGTAAATGCGTCTCTGGTTCGATCCCTGGCTGGTGTGTGAATGAGGCATGTTGTATAAAGTGAGTGTAGAGTACAACAGTGTTCTATAAGAACCCGCCCATATTTTAGGCCTCCTGTGTGCTTAAAGCAGCACACATACTGATGGCAACCAAAGATTTCGTTTCCCTGACATAAAGAAAAATGTTATAACATGACCTTAAATCTGAATATAAGTAGTGATTATGTTACGTGCCTTAACTCTGGCAGACAGATACTCCTGTAGCCCATTACATGACAAATTTAGAAAAGATGTTCCGATTTACAACCTGTGACATAGAATTACTGTGTAAGAGGAGACTCAATATATGTCTAAGCAGTTACAGTGAAATCACATGAAATCGAGCATTATTTAATGACATGGGGTAAAGATTAGGTCTCAGCACAGTGAGGACAGCAGACACTTCTCATCTTCTGCTGTAAGTTGTGGATAATGAGCTCTACAGCATTCACACACACTGCAGCATACAGCTGAATCATCATCTAAAAGTATGGGACTTGGAGCTGGATGATGACATTAATATATTATCAGGAAGTCAAGTACATCTTTTTTTCCCTTCCCACTTCCTTATTGAGTTTCCATGCCTGTCCGAGTGAAGCAGAATACTGAATCATTGTAGCCTTCCCCGACCAGGAAGTTATCGCACTAATGAACTTAAGCTGTGGGAGATGTGGGAGATTGAACTAAGGTAACACTGGACCACTGCTAACATTTCATTTAAACTGGACATATACATGTATTAGGCACAATTACACAGTTATTTACAACACTAGCTTATCTTCAAATGTATGTCAATATTTCATTTTTAAAAGAATATTGTGATACTCCTGGCTGTAATTAAACAAGCTTTTTTGAGTACAGCCCAGAAAAGAAAGGCCAAGAGGTTTCTCTCCTGCAGAGGAGAAGTTCATTAGAATTACAGCCTCAGAAACCACAACAACAGCTTGGATTAGAGCTCACATCACCACTTTTCAACTGTTCAAAGGAGAAAACGTGAATCAGGTATTCACAGTTGAATTGGTGCAGCAAAACGACTGCTCAGGGAGACGTATAGAAGGAAGATAACTGATTGGGCCAAGAAGAAGAGGGAATCGAAATTAGATTCGTCCAAAGACTTTGGTGTGATGGTTTGATATGTGACAAGAATGAAAGCTTTTTGGTTCCATTTTTAAGAGATGCAGAAAAGGAGTACGGATATTGGAAGTGTTATACGTTATAATGATGTGGGGGAATATTTACAAAAGTCACTTTTGTCATTTTCTTCACAATTCAAGGCAACAGGTAACCAGCATGACTAATACATCATTCTGCAGCAGCAACAGGACAATGAGCCAAAACACTGCTGAAGTGAAGTTTAC